GGGTAGGCTGCCTACAACACGGTTACCGTGCCTACAAGAACAATGCATACCAACATAGTGTGCAGATTGAAGTTATCTTTATTAAAAGTTATATAGATATAGATTCAACAGTTAATCGTTTTAATTCCCGAGAGCGTTTATAAAGAATATGTTACACAAGTCATTGGTACATATGTCATATAGTATAAGTATGCTCTACTTGAAATGAAATACACTACTACTGATTAATTAAGGCTAGTAACAGAGAACGTTTGGAGTCCATCACAACAAGTAATACGAAGTGTTACATCTGTCCAGTCAGTTCAAGGTGTTTAAGTCCTACAAAGAAAAGAAAAGTTTGAAAGTTTTTAAAAATCTCCTTAACAACAAGCCTGCATATTCTAAAACTGTTATTAGCACGAATTGTCACTGCTATAAGCATTCATTTTCACTGTTATTATTACTAAGATAGTATTACTATGCAAACTTCAAAAAGCATTGTAGCAAATTTATTTCATAGTGTAATGCATTGTGAAATATTAATCTTTATGAACTGGATATGGCTTTTGACGTGCAATGTCGTGCGGCGCGTAAACCATACGACCGAGGGTAGCAGAAGTTGAATCCGGTCCATAGAGTTTTTATCATATACTATACTATGGGTATAAGTACAATTTAACCACAACGTGACCCCAAACATACAACGTAATTCACAATGACGCGTTTTGTTTTGATTGATAAAAAACAGCGCGATGGGCTGGGCGCAATATAGGAAGGTAGTGCAAGATGTGACGGCGAACTTATGAGGTATATGAGGTATGATATATGATAAATACGATTTAATAGGCGGCTACATAGTACCCAGCCGTATTGTATTTACCGGCAACTGCTGACTGGAATCCTGCATTGTAGTCACATGCGACTTCATTGCTACGGTAATCAGCCCGGTCGTTTGTCCAGTAGTCGTTGATATCAGGTCCACCAACAAGACCACCGTATAAGACTTGGGGATTCGAACCATTATAATTGTAGTTACTCCAATTGCAAGTGGCCGGTAGACCAGGACAGGAACTAGAACGGAATAGTAACGTTTAGACAAATTAACAAATTCCGCATTATATCAGGAGTTCAATATTGTCATCAAGAACACGATGAGTGAGAATATCGATCATTAAAACGAGCGCTCTAGCGCAA